AAAACAAAAACAACCAAAAAATAAAATGCAACAAATATTTATGAAATTGTAAATGACTAGTGAACTAAAATTGGAAATGAATAAATTTATTCTGAAAAAAAATCGCACCGATTTTCCGAATGAATGTTTTTTACATTTCAGTTTTTGATATATGGGTAAGGTGAGTAATACACGACGATTCCACACCAATCGGGGAAAAATTCCGATTTGATCTCTTCGATTTCGTTCAAACTTGTTGTATAAACTTGATATGTTATGATTTAAACATGAGTCTTTGCGAATGAAATCGATTTATTTTCAAAACTTGCGAAAAATCCCGTAACGCGAAAAACAAAAGTCACCCATATCCTTTGATCGTTACTTACTGCGCCGTATTAAAGCTTTTCTGATTGGGTATGAGCGGCGAATGTCGAAGGAAAGTATTGTCGTTCCCCTCTTTTGAAATGATAACAATGTATAAAAACTCAACATCCAAAGCAAAGTGAATGAGATATTTACAATCTGGCGTGCATTTGGAGCGGCGCCAAGGGTCCAATGACATTTAAAGAATGACCACTGACGAAAACAACATCACATAATTATCGACATTTTTTTGTCGGCTATTATTCCGCTTCAATTTGGCGTTGTTATTTTTGGTAGCAGACCTAGTTACTATTGACTATATCTCGGCTTGTTATTTGAAATGCCGATGTTTTTGTTTTCATTCCGCGACCAATTAGACACAATTGTTTGGATCTTGCAACTCAGTATAGACAAAAACCATTTTTTTTGGCTGTTTTGTGCACATGCGCAAGCCTTCTGTTTGTGTAGCTTGAAATGAATCTATCAATGGTAAAAATAGCTCCAGAATGTAAACAAATTTACCGGCTCATCATGAATACGCACTCAAAATGATATCAATTTGGTTCGGACATTCTCTGGAAATGAAAATAATCGTTCTTTTCATTGTTATTGCGACTTTCAGATGATTCATCCTCGTTAGTTCAATTCAAGACTTGAACATAGTCTATGAATTTCAAGTAGCTTGAGTTTACTGATTTTTCTTCTTCTTTATTTTAATTCATTAAATTTCGGAAATTGTTTAAAAAAAAGAATGACCTCACTGAATTGAAATTTTAATGAAATTTATAAACAGAAACGAACTGAAAATAACTTTCGAAATGGTTCAGGCGTCAAGGCATATGGTTTCTTTGTTTCGCTATACGTCTGAAGATGAAAAGATGTCATTTTATCATCTAATACTATAAAAATATTCAATTTATTTTTTACTACCACAATGTTGGAAACTTTAATGAAGCCAATATGGTCGAATTAATGAAAAAAAAACGAATTTAAGTATATTTCGCTAGGACCCCTATTGAAATGAAGACACTTTTTATGAAAAATGTCACGATTCCTGTAATACACGATACTATATGTTGCGCACCATAGATCTGTTTATATCCAATGGATATTATCCATTCACAACAGACACAATTGCCGATGTCATTTTGCACAGCCATGGATGCGCATAAAAAAGTTCATTTCAATGTTTTGATTGCCTCGGAGCTATTCTTGGAATCAGATTGAATTCAGGTAGCAAAAGTGCGTATTTCTTTATTTTTTCAATTAAATTTTACCCAATTGAATTGTGCCATAGCAACTGGGTCGAATTGAGCGATTTATCTTAGCCAGACTGTATGCAAATTCAGTGAAAAAATGGATGAAAAAATCAAATTACAAATGACTACTGACTATTGTGAAAAGCTGTTTTTTTGAACCCGTTGACAAAGGATCAAGTGATCTATCGGAATCTGAATATTTTGTTTTTATTTCAACTTGAAACATTTCGATTGAGGCGCCTGAAAATCAAAATAAAACAATCTCTGATATCAAGAAGACCAATAAAAAGCACATTGTTCACTTTTTGATTTATTTTTTTTCTTTATTTTTATTAAATTTTTGTTCAAAGCATTTACATTTGTGAAATATCAATTGAGGACCTTTAAAATAAATTATGAATACATACATTTCGACCATCACTTGCGCAAGTGATGGTGCCTAAAATGATGTGAAATAGAGAAAAAAAAACACATTGATTCGTCCTATATCGTCACTCAACAAGATTCAAAACCATTTGATAGTTGATTCTACTGTTGTTATTTTGCGTCTTTGCAGACACTTCATTTTTTCTCCCCTGTAGTTGGTGCAATGTGTGGTCTGCATCTCTTCATGTGTGCTGGTAAGGCTCTAATTTCCAAGATGCGATCGTCCGAAATGGCCGAGAATACATCTTCTGAATCATAATGCTCCGGCAATTTAAAATGACGAACAAAATGACGTGGTAAAGCGTTTCCGGGGCGTTTTTTCTGTTTTCCTTCAACAATAATTGTCTCATCAATTGTTCGCACGCTTATTTCATCATCGTCGTATTCCTTGACATCCACGTACAAATGGTAGCCATCCTTGTCCATGTGTGCCATCTTATCGAGGTCCTCACGAGGATAGTTCAATCTTCCGGGATGATGTTGAACCGGTGGTGCGAAGGTCAAGTGATAACTTGTGGGAAAGTGTTCTTCAAAGAAGTATGGTCGTGTTGCCATTTTTCACTCTTTTTCTTTTTTAAATTTTCACTTGAAAAAAATAGACTTTTATTTTGGCTAGCACGATTTGATTCCGAGCTGATTTCAATTGATACTGATGCTGCGACGAAGTGCAATCTCCTATATATACGCGAATTGCTTACGCCTACGCATCTGGCTGCTGTGCGATCCTCAGCAACAAAATTGATGCCATTTTCTTTGTTCCATTCACCCGGAATGTTTCAACAAAAACATTCGATTTTGTTTACAAACAACACCGTATGGACTTTTTTCAACTAATTTTAGCCGTACTTTTTTTTCGGCTCCTAACTGTTTATGATACAATATATATATAATGTTTGCAATACGCGTGTGTGTGTGTGTGCGTTTGAATTTCGATGTTGTTCTTGGGAAAAAAACGAATTTTTTTTTTGCGTCGATGACATGATATACATCACGTTTACACAGATGAACGCAGGCCAACACGGATCAGATGTCAAAAACGCCTAGAACGATTTAGACGTGCAGTTTTCGGCGTTTGTCCGTCGGCTGTGGGTTGCCACAAAATATTCATGCCAAAAAAGAGTGCAAAACATATTCATTTCTATATTCGTTCGTTTGAGACCGATTGTGTCGAAAATAAATGAAAAACAACAACAATCATTAAAAAAAAAAAATGTTATTTTCGGTGAGATACTCGTATGTTGCGCCGAACATTCTCTGCATTTAATCATAAGTTGTGCGTCGATCGAATGAGAATGTGCGTTGAGCCAAATATTTTTCACTCTTCCAACGTAAACACATTCGGGTTGGAGAATAATTGTTATTTGCTTTGGTAAGAGAAATATAGCATTTTTATTATTCATTTTTTTTGCTTCTTTCATTTCTTTTATTTGAAATGATCAAATGATTTGATTGAAACTTTTTCATTCGATAGTGGGCTGGCATTTTTGCATGAAATCTAATGGCATAGACCTGGATTGATGTGATGTTGTCGTTGTCGTTGAAAGAAAACAACAAATCGTGCATCACGAACACTTGGACCAGTGTCTCTTTTTTTATCGGTTTCTCACATAAAACCATAAATTACGGCAAACGCTCATTCAAAGCTGTTCGTTTACCGAAACTCTTTTCATTTTCATTTTCTTTTCTCTCTCTCTCTTTATCTCTCTCTGTTTCTCACACACACATATGAAAAACAATTGTGTTCTTTTTATTTTCAACAGCCGAATGTGTGATCATCATCATCACCGCAATAATTCGCTTTGATTTAAAATCAAGATTCAACCTCTCCACTCGTGCACTCGCAATTCAAACGATGATGTGTGAATCGAATTGAATGATGAAATAAGAGCTAAGGCATCGAATCCACTGAGATAACCATAAAAGTGACTTTTGCTTTAGAATTTTCAGAAATAATTATAAAATTGATTGTGCCCTTATTTGGATGGCGGTTTTTCGTGCATGCATATTCATGTCATTCGTTCGTTCGTTCATTCGGACGTATACTTTACTCTTTTGTTCTAAATCAAATCGAACGAATTAGACGAACATAATCATATACCTCTTTGTGTATAATTTTGCGTAAGTCGAAACAATGGAAATAAATATTACATGGAAATGCGTTATTGTTTGCATACTCATTGATTAATATTGTTCAATGTGTTTTTGTAACCATTTGCTTTTCATGTTCATCTTCTTTCGTTTCCTCTTTCATTACACCGCAGCATACTCTTCGTGAATGATGACGCTTCCAAAATGAGTCGTGATCGTTTAATATGTAACTTGTGTAATGATGAGCTAGACAGTTAAGGAACATTTTATGAGAACTAAGCAGACAGCAGACATAATGATGGTGGACTGGACAAAACGATTGCTCAGCAGAACTCGAACAACCGAATCACTGCAACGTTTGACCGGCTTGATTCATTCGCGTAAAATGTTAAACAATACACCACTTTTATCGATGTGCCCGATAGAACGAGAGAAAGACACAGAGAGAGAGAAAGAGATGGAGAGAGACACACACACAGAGCAAACTAGTCAGATCATGATGAGTTTTGAGGCATTGGATACGTGAAACCAATATCAATTCGTTGAAGTAAATGCGTTGATAGCTTCCGTTTTGAGTATTGGAAATTAATAATTTAGTAGCGTGCTCTCCATCATTCTTAGCTTGTTCGCTCAAATAAAAAAAATGCATAGAACTTTGATTTAATATGAAATACAAGTGCCTTATGGTCCAAAAACGCTCCGGAACTGCCAATTTTGACAACGCAACGCTATTATTTATTCATTTGCAATCATTATTCATCATGTGGGTTCTGTGTGCTATATTGCTAACCAACAATGACGAACGGCAATATACACAATCATTACCCAGTCGCTTTGACTGTCCATTGCTTTGAACCGTTCTCCTCCGAAAATTTCATTTTAAAGCAAAGACCTACCTATTTGCAAACATTTTCATTTGGACAAAATCGATCAAAATTGATTTGCAGGAAGATTTTACCTTCGGCAGATGGAGAGCAAATCACACTCAAAATGAGCACCAAATATTGACCTAAAATGTTGTAATCAAAATTTAAACGTATTTTCTTTGCATGAATATTGATTTATTTCATTAAAAAATATCATTTTTCATCAGTTTTTCAATAGTTTACAGAATTCATTTTGCTTTAACACCTAAATTCAATTTTTAAATAAATATACGTATTTATTGGGTTTTATTTTTCAGTGACAAAGGCGAAAACATTTGCATAAATGAAATTTACCTCTCGTTTCTTCAAAACGGAAAACCAAAATTCACTTAATGTGAAATGGTACGAATATTGGATTAAGTATATAAACAATGTTTGGTGTGCAGAATCTCTGCTTAAACCAGAAATTCGTTGATGGGTTCATTTGAGATAGGCAAACGATTGAATTATGTTGAAAAAACTTAAAAATTAGCAAAAAAAAAAAATTAATGCAGACGTTTTTTTCTTTTAATTGGTTCACACCAAATTCAAATCAGTTTATTCTTTGAATTTTGAATTCGAATATTTTGAACGATTTCAAATTGATAACAATAAATTGGTTAATAGATCGAATGACGACGACGATGATGACTTGATGATGACCTAATGATTCGGTGAGAAGTCATTCTAATATAAGAGTGAAAACAATTGAAAATTCGTTAATGGTTACATATTTGGCGATTATATTATTTATTATATTTTACAGAAGACTCGATTTGCAAAACAATTATATCATTTCGAACCTATGTACATGATGTGTGGAAGGAAGAAAAAGAAAATTGGCATGGTTAATCATGCGACGAACGAAAAGAAAACAAAAAAATGAAAGCATTTTGATTCAATCCCGTGACGTGATTTAAACTAAATTTAAATAAACATCAACATTTAGGATGATTTCACAAGATATGAGAGTTCTGTTCGATGGTCAAACGATTTTCAGGTCCCCGATTTTTTCGCATTATTTCGACTACTGTTGCTACTACTGCCACTGCTGCTGCCACCCGCTGCTCCTCCACCTTCATCAGAATTGCTGGAACCCAAGAAGAAAAAAGCAAAAACACAGAAAATTCAACGAAATATTCTCAGCGGAAGGATGAAAGAAGTCTCATGTCTTACCTTGGCAATAACGGTATCGATATAAAGTGACGTCCATTTTCTATAGCGAAACGATAGAGAGTGAGAGAGAAAGAGAGAGAAGTAAAACCGTGAGACATGAATTAATATAGAAATGCAGAGTAAAAATATTTTGTTGACACGTTAGTGTGCATCAGTCAATCAGTGTGTCAGAGTGTCGATAAGTCTCCGTCAATGAAGGCGATACAATAAAATATGGAATGAGAGTGATGCAGTCAAAGACAGAGAGAAAAAGAGAGAGAGAGAGAGAGAGAGACGAACAATGCCATTGTTGATCATTTGTTTGTGATTCGTTGATTGTAGTACGGTTTGTAATTTTCATGTTTCACTCTCATTTAACCGTGGTATGGTTGTGTATGTGATCGGTTGCAATCACCAAAAGCGTTTACAAACCAAAGCCGATAAAAGCATTCGGCATTTTAGAAATATTTGCTGTCCTTGTTCGGTTGGTAGATCGGTACCAGTGCCAGTGCCAATGCCGCCGTCAATTGTTTGTTTTGTTCACATTGTCACATGCCGCCCGTTTCAGTTTTACAATTTCATTCATACAAATCCGAAATTGGAATCAATCACCAAAGAAATAGACTGTTGCCGCATACGCCGCCGACATTTTCATCAGCATGTTAAAGCCCATTTTGAAAGCGTAATACAATGTAAAAATAAGGAAATCAGTAAGACATTGACGACCAGCAGCAACAACAACAACAGCAACAATAGTAATAACAACAACTGTAAGCTGAGTGCATCTCAGTTTATGGATGAACCAAACACGGTACCGGCATACGGAGACGGCTCACTTATCGCCAATGGCATGGCTTATATTTTTCATATTATACGTATTTGTTTCGGTTTTTGGACCTAACACACCAAAAATAGCATCTCGTGCACGCCAATCGAGAGGGAAAAAAGCGTATCAAATATGTAAAAATTCATTCCGAATGAATGCAATTGGGACGGTGGCGGTGGCGGTGGCGAGCCACTACCTAACTGAATGGATAACGTATTTGTGTGTAAAAACCATAGTGGACAGGCCCATTGTTGTTATGTTCAGCAAAAATGGTCAGTGATCCATTGAATGAATCAAGTTGGATTTAAGGTATGGCATCGAAATCGAAATCGAAAATATAATATAATCGAAAAGTGAAACAGACATTGCGAACCAAAAATAACTGCGGGGCATTACCTTCTTCTTCAACTTGGAGATGACCACTTTGAACCAGGTTCATAAGCACTTCTTGTGGTAAATTGACTAAAGCTTGTGGATAAATCAGACTATTTAGACTGGTACTGTTTCCGAACGCTTTGCCTAATTCCTCTCGAACTTGAATTTGTTGTGGCTGCGACTGTTGAGACTCTTGTTTTTTCGTAGGTGCGGCTTGCGGCTGCTGTTGTTGTTGTTGTTGCTGTTGTGGCGGCGGTGGTGGTTGCCGTTGACGCCGAACAATTTGCTCTTGAATGTGATGACTAGGGCCGGCCACTTCAACACTTGATGACTCGTCGCTCGATTCACCTGACGACAAAGGTGAACGGTCATCCTGTAATTGACAAAGAAACAAAACAAAAATGATTAAACACCAAAGCCATCAAGTATGACCGTCAACCAAATGAATATTCAACAATTTAATTAAAAAATCGAAATGGGAAAATAGCCTTGAAACTATTCTGACGCGCGATGTTCAATTTTCCGGCCACCTTTCAATCGGGAATGTCATCTTGTTCAAGCACTCTGGTGTTTTATTTCGTTGTTGTTGTTGTAGTTTGTTGTTAGTTTTGCCCATCTTATTTAGAACTTTGTCACCACATACGCACGCAACTCCCAATGCACATCAGCAGTAGCAACAGTAGCAACAGCACCTGGGACACTTCGGATTACTGTCTACATATTTTTGCTCAGTGCATCGTGACATACCAGAAATCAAATATGGACAACAACAAGTGAAGAGAAAGAAACAAATGTCGCTATTGCCATAATAATATGATTCACATTTGTTGACGAGGCCACTAACTCTCGATATGGTTATGGGAAAGAAATGCATCTTTTTCATTCTTATTGCTTTTTGTTGTTGTTGTTGTAATTTTCATTTTGTTACTTTTAGTCTGGAGCTCAGTGCGGCTGCTGCTGCTGCTGATGCGAATGTCTCTTCACTGTCTACTCCAGAAATAATAATCGCCTGACTAAACATCCGTCATTTACTCAAAAGAGAAGAAAATTGGCGTTGCATTGGCAATCGATGAACGATATCATCGTTCGAGCCATTCATCGATCAGTACACATTTTGCAACAACAACAACAAAAAATAGAGTCAGTGAGAACGAGAGACATAATGCAATATGGCATACATATACTGTATGTGTGTACGTGTGTGCGCTATGCCAAACAATACATTTTACTTCGACGAATTGTGAGCGTTTACTTTTTTATGCACGATTTGCATTAGAATATGGTTACGCAAACTTACTGTGAATCCATAGTCAAACATAAAACATATTTTCAATGTCAACAAATACCGCATTGCACGCTCTATCATATGTGGTCATTGTATGCGCGCCAGACATCATGGAGTTCCACAGAACATTTCAATTTTTTTTTCCTCTTCTTCTTTTTTCTTTCTTCATCGTCGAGTTTTTTTTTTATCGTGAAACAATTCTAGTCAACATCTCCAATTGAGACCTTGATCGATGAAGATTTCTAATTGATGGTTGAAAGAAAAGTAACAAAAACGTATGATAGAAATGACTTTGATGAAGTCCGAGAATAAACTGAAATCTAATCTCGATAAAAAAATTATTTCGAATGTCGCTTTACCATTTGCCTTACCTGCAAAAAAGGTAAATAAATGAAGGATTTCGAGGAAAGCGCATTTTCTCACAAATGAAAACCCAAATTTGTCTAAAAAGACATCATATATGTGGAAATTTTCGTTCGTTTCGAAAAAGTTCTGCTCCCCCGTCCGAAAACTGCATGATTCATCCACTGTTTATTTCCCACTGAAATTGAGACAATCGATGTTTTGTCGAACGAATGTGGAAAAAGAGGCAACCGATATGAAAAACGGTGAGAAATGTAACGATGAGTACATTTTATATTTGAATCCTCGGAATATAATGCATCGAATGCATTGCATCAAGAATGTGCTGTAGCAACGTTGACGAAGCTAAACGTGAGCTCACGCAATCGAACAGCGAAATAAATATATATATAAAAAAGAAGCAATACAAATTGCAAATGCAGCCGTACAAAATAAAGCGAAACAGACGTGCATTACTGGTTTCAGCCACCTCTCTCTCCCTCTCTGTGTGTGTTTGTGATGAGATGTGCAGTAAATGCACGCAAAACGCATACTAAACAGGCTACAGATTGGGACGAAATGAACGAAAATAAAAAACTGGATATCACCATAAAAATCATCACGTGAAACATAATTTTAACGTTTTTTTTCCCCTCAGCATCGTGCTCAACAAATCTGTATGGATTAATTTTTGTTACTGCTGACGTTCGTGTATGTCTCTATGTCTGTCTGCCTCTCCCGCCCTTTGCATCTGTCTCATTGGGGCGTCGTATTATAAGTGGTAATATTTGAGAGCTCATAATTTGCTGCAATTATCACTATTGTACTGAAATCGAGTAGCTTGTATAGTAACGAAGGTGTTCAATTATTATGATGTTTAAGAATTGAGATACATTTTTATCTCTGTACGATCGAATCGAATAGATTCACGTCCAAATCGCTTCTTTTTTTTCTCCATTTCGTCAAGCATTCGAACTCCTTGGAATATGATTTTTTTTCTTCTGTTGAACTACTGCTGTCACTGCTGGCTGCTGCTGTGGTTCGATATTTTACAACAAATTCTGACATTCGCTCTATAGATACACGATACTCTTTTTAAAAATGGATACAAACAGCATTTTTTTTCTCTTCAATATTGCAAACATTTTTTACCATTTACGGATTTTGAAGCGATACAAAAAATTATTCCAAAGGACAACAGTCTGAATGCATTTGCTATGACAAGAAATACGTTCATTTATTTTGTTGCTGTGTGTGTGTGTGTGTATGCGTAAATAAATTAACTGATAAATTGTAAATTGCAAATGAAACATTCGAAAAAAGCTCATAAGCGAATGCATCTGTACATGCCATGGTGTAATTTTTCAACAAAATAAACTGCCACATTGAACGAATGCAAGCGTTTCCATTGCGCTGGAAAAAATTGCGCATTTTCATAAGACATTTCCAGAACGAACACAGTTGAGGCTCAAAATATGATTATTTTTTTTCCTTCTTGAAAAGAATGAGTTCCACCATAGAGTTTTTCCATGGAAGTCTCTTTTTAAACGATTCGGAAACTTCATCAAAGGGAAATTTCGGAGGTGAATATTTCGATCGATTGCATTGCAGTATTTCCTTTCATTTATTTTTCTTTTGAAATCCACCGTTTCAGTTGGATTGTCGAAAAAGCATGTGCTTGCTTACATTGCGGCTACGGAAAATGGCAACTCGATGAGTGTGGATTTGAATTGAATGCACAATGTTTATAAACAAGTTTCAATCCACTTGTAAGCGATTAGGAGAAGTGAGTGTGTATTTGGCATGTGATTGCGTTCAGAGACCAAATGGTACCGAGATTCCGATTCTCTTGAGACAATAAATAAATGATCGATTTGGTGTAGTGCAAATCGAAATACGAATTGTTATCGTCGAGCATATGTGTGTTTCAAATTCGTTGTGTAACGACCTGTCGAGTTTGCGATACGATGCGAAGCGATGATTTCATGTGAGACCAAAATTATCATCATTTTTCAAGTCGGTTCGGGCTGTCGTTAGAAAATACGACAATCACAATGGACTGGTGTCGCTATTTCTAACATTCATATACCGGTTGGAGATATACACACACTGTCATTCGATTCGTTGTTTTGTTTCGTGATTTTTTTTTTCTTCTATTTGATTTACGCTAAAATATGCGTTCCAACGAACAAACAGTTCGATTGCAATGCATTAGACGCGATGGGAAATCACACACACGTAAAATCTGTGCAATATTCTTTTGTAGCAGTCAGCCACAACCACATCGATTCAATTACGTTGCTCTTTTTCCATTACGCGAATCGGTTGGTTGTTGTTGTTGTTTTTTTTGTTCTTGCTTGCCTGACTGACTGACTCATCGCATGATTTTATTCAGTTGTTACTTTATAACATCGCACTGAAAATGCCATCATAGATCATAGGCGATCGTTGCTTGTTATGAAGATTTTCAACGTTTTTACGGTGAAAAGTAGACATTCAGTCTATTGAAAGAAGTGGTCGCAATGCAGCTACAATATGTTTGAAACAAGCAGTGAGATGGCCATTTCTAGGATGTTTTGAGGAACAATTTTTTGAAAAGAGACAGAGATAAATTTCGAGAATTATGGATTCCCCAAAATTATGAAGAAATAACAACGAATATTTCCATCAAGTATGTCTTTCAAAGCCCATCATGGTCGTCACATGTGAAGACAATACGAAATTATACTAAATATATATATATATATAAAACAGCACATTCAGATTGCGTTCCTCTAATCGAATGCAGTTCCCCAAACGGGCTTGCTAGTGCGCCAATACAGAAAAAAATGGCAACAATGTTCTTTTCACTGGAATTGCGAAGCGAGCGCAGCAAGAAGAAAAAAACACACAAAAATAAATGTGATATTGAAACAAAGAAAATGGAAAATAAAAATAAAAAGAAACATAAGCAACTGACAAACGAGAGAATCGTAAAGAAAATACGTTAATATTACTGATTGAAAACGAAGTACGTCGGGTTCGCAACTCGCAATTTTCCCGCTGCGTATTGCAAGCACGCACACACACACACACACACACACACCGACTGAGGTCTGGATAACTTTTGCACTTGACTGCCATGGAATGAGATGATGCATCGTCTCGCGCACACAAAAACCCGACGAATTTATTTTGCGATCGCAATGCAATGCTAATGGATATTAATAGGCTTTACATCGAATTATTCCCATTAAATATTGACACTTATGCGCCAAACGAATAACAATTACCAGTTCAGGTGAAGATCGATAAGAGAGTGAGCCGGAGTGAGAGGGAGAGAAAGAGAGAAAAAAAACAGAGACACAGATACACACACGCGCAATGTGTATGACCAAAAACGTTCACTACCTGCCATCACCATCGGCATTCAATGCAATCTGTTAAATTATACGTGAAATTTCTTTCACAGCGTTTTTTTTTCTTCCTCTTATCTCTCCTGTATACATTTTACTTGTTCCCATTTTTGCGCATTTTATCGTAGAGTGTGTGTATGTTTCTGTTCCTCTTTTGCACTCTCTGTTCGCTCGTTCGTTCTTATTTTTGTGTCGCGTCAAAAAGTACACGACACATCATGTTCGATCTTTCATCACATTCTTTACATGGATAATTACAGTGACTACATTAAACAAGTGCATATTAATGCTGCTTTTTGGCGCTGTTCACGTTAATTTTGTATAAAATGAATACCGTTTTTTTCCTCTCGC